TATTTTATTTCAGTGTGAAGTGGTGTAGTATCATTTCGAAAATTATGTCCCTTATTGAAGAATTTATTAGCAGAAACTGACTTCTCCATAATGGCTCTGCCTCCCAAAGTGGCATATTTAGATACTCTTCTCCATAGAAAATATTAACTGTGAAATTTCATGTGTAAGCAGTAAATTATCAGGACTACACAGTGGACCAAATTTAGAAATAGCTAATCAAAGCCAATAAGTTTCCCATTTGGATGAGAATATGTGGTGGGGAGATCTAATAAGGGCTGTTGATAGATACTCACTGTCCCAATTTCCTGCTTCATCAGAGCGTGTAACCGAAGTGAAGACTGACATCTTCGTCACCAGTTTCGGACCCGTTTCAGACCATGATATGGTAAGTGACACCACGTTTTTGGTCTTCCTTTTTTTTTTTTTCTTAATTTAACTTTTAAAATAAAAAAATACATATATCGACTAAGTATTTAGGTAGCAGCCTCATATTGCTTGGATGTATGCTTGTGTCACTATACATATATGATACGTAATATATACTACATGCAATATTTATACCAAAAAAAAAAAAAAACCCAATTGCCATCGAGCTTATTCTAACTGAAAGCTATCCCACAGAGCAGAGAAGGGCTGCCTTATAGGGTTCCCAAAGCTGGAATCTTTTACAGAAGCTGATTTCCACATCTGTGGAGCAGCTCATGGTTTTGAATCACTTACTTTCAATTTGCAGTGAAACGCTTAAATACTGTGCCACTAGAGCTCCTCATAATATTTATATAATTGAAAAACACTCATTTATTTCCCAGAACAGGACTGTTTCCATAATCACCAACCACAGTAGTCCTCCTTTTTTCCCATCCCAGGAAATGACTGCTTTGTCTTTGTTGAAGCTCTACAAACCAAATGTGCAAGTTCCCTTTCATTTTACTTTGGAGGCCATGTTAATTCAAGGATGCTTGAACAGTTAGCCAGCTCTGTTCTCAGAAAACCAGGAGCATTATCATTGCTGGATTATTTTTGGCTAAAATTGGAAAATTAGTATAAAAGCTGAGTGAATACTTAAGCAGAATTATACAGAAAAAGTGTTAAAAAATGACATTGACAAATGTTCAGTTTCACTGCAAAAGGCACTCATTAAAATGTTATCAAAAGTGGGAATGAAATGAATAAATACCTGTTCTTTCTTTTCCCAAACCAACTAAATTAAAATGAATTTCTCTTAACATCTGCTGGGAGTTGGTAAATCAGGAGAGCTCTGAAGATATTATATAATGTTGCAAAACTCATAACAGCAAAGCTTCTATAGAAGGAAAACATCATAAAGAGGCTATGAAGATATACAATTATGAATATTTCAAAGTACATTAATTCAATTTTATTTTTGAAGTGCCTTTTTGGCATCATCTGATCATAACTGTCTTCTATTTCTTAGTAGCTCACATGATTCAAATAGAAATTACAGAAAGTATCAACTTAGGCCAGCATTTCCTAAAATGTGGCTATTTATAATGAAGCCATCTTGACTTTGTAAATACTCTGACAAGTTCTAAGGTAAGGAAACGTGTTTAACTATATTTAATCTAGTGCTTTTCCGATCATATTTTTACAAAAGCCTTTTTCTTCATTCAATACCTGCTAGTATTCTGTAGAACTAGTGATCTACAAATCAAACATTGGGAAATGCTGGCCAGGGGATAATTATATCTAAGCCAGGTTATGAAATGTACCGATTATTTAAATAAGATTCAGCAGAGCATATGAAAGACAGCAGAGTGGTAGGTAAGAACATAAATTTCTGAGCCAAAATGCCTAGGGTTATCATCTTAGTTCCTCCATTTACATGACTATGTCCTTGGGTAATTTACTTAATATCTCAATGTTTAGTGTCTTCATGTGTAAAATGGGGACAATAAGAATGTCTTATGGGGTTATTTCATATATTAAGTGATTAAATAGATGCCAAACACATAAAACAATTCCTGACACATTATAAGCACTCAAAAACTGCTAGCCATTATTACTAGCAAAGGAATAAAAATAAAAATGTCTACCATAATTGTGAATTTATTTATCTGACACTCATTGTCATTACGGTCAATGAGGAAGCCACTTTACTGGAATACTGTGAGATACAGGATTTTTAACTAAATTGATCACTTTCTAAACATCAAATTTGTTGTGGATTTTTCCATATTGAAACTTCTTTTACTATTTTCTCCTCTTGCAACTTTTCTATGTAAGCACCTTAGTAGGTTTCATTCAAGTTTAAAATCAAATTCAAACTCCTCTGCACATGTTGCATAAATGCCAAAAAAAAAAAAGAAAGAAAGAAATGCTACTCTTCCTCATTCATTCCAACATCATTTGCTGAGCAGGTTTTACTTGTCTGTGTGAGTCCTGCTCTCTGTGAGGCAATGCAACTTGAGGGCTCAAAGGATTGGCTCTAGCAGTCAGGCTGGCTGAGTTCAGATCTTAGTAGTACGACCTTGAGCAAATCACTAAAAATTCCGGGGCTCCTAGTCTGTAAAGTGGGTGTATTATTAAAGCTACCCCTGTAAGATCATTACAAATGTTAAATGAGATGATGCATATAAAATGTCTGTCAGTGGACTTCAATTAAATATAACTGTTATTATTTTTGTATCTGATCTCCTTATCATGACATGCACCCTAATGGAAAACTTTCTTTTCTCTCCACCATCTAAATTCTGTATTTTCTGCCAAGGCCCAATACTACATAACTCAATTGCTTGATGAAAACACTTTCTGATGAAGCTAATAATACTGTTAATTTTTTGCAGCATTCTAATCACATTGATTGACTATAAGACAGAATTTAATATTTGTCACATAGGCATCACTGCTCTATAAGGTTATTTTCCTTCTGTAAATGTCATATTTTTCTACCATGGTACCCAAAATTGTAAAGACAATTTTTTTAAACAGCCTTCATAGTCTTAGTAAATTGTAGGCTTTCAGTGTCACCTTATTACTTAATAATAGGTTTGAAAAGTGGGATCTTATGACCTAATAAATTACACTTCTGTTTCCTATTGGAGTTTTGAACTTTGTGAGAAAAAAAAAAAAGACCATAGAGTAAAGAAATAAAAATATCATAATTATTACTAATAATGATGACAATATAGAATGAGGCTTATATTTACAGATAAGTGGGTTTCTAGGTGATTCATTCCAGAATCAGGTTGAAATATTCACCAGGTCACAGGCAATGGTAGCTTCTCTCTGCTAGAATGTAGATGGTCTGTGTAAACCTTCAGACATGGAGGAACACAGCCAGATTTGTGAGTCTTATGGAGAGGCAGCATCCCAAGCGGCAAAGGGCTGAGACAGGCAAACAGTTTCTTCTTCCAGATTCACTGATCAGATTAAACTAATCCTCTTCTCCTTTGTTGGGGCACAAGAGTATTAGGGGCTGGAGTACATTCAGGAGATTTACCCCATGACTCTCCTTCTCATTGATGAAAACATCAAGAGAAGGGATAAGGCATTACAAAAAAAAAAAAAAAAAAAACCTCACTGCTGTTGAGTCAATTTTGACTCATAGCAACCCCTCCTTGAGTTTCCAAGGTAGTATCACTGTGGAAGTAGATTGCCCAACCTTCCTTCCGAGGAGCGGCTGGTGGGTTTGAACCACCAGCCTTCTGGTTAGCAGTCAAATATATGCAATCAAAAATTTTCTCTTAAATATTTGGCATGCCTTTGAGTTATCAATCTAGATGTGTAATTTAAGGAACACATAATATTTTCTGTCTTAGAATCAAGTGTACACTAGCTTTGATACACTATTATTATTGTTGTTAGGTGCCATGGACTCAATTTCTATTCAGAGTAAAATTGTCCCATAGTTTTTTCTTGGATATAACCTTTCAAGAAGCAGACCTCCAGGTTTTTCCCCTACAGAGCCTCTGTTGTTGTTGTTGTTGTTGTTGTGTGCCGTAGAGTCAAAACCAACTCATAGCGACCCACCCTTGGGTTTCCGAGGCAGTATCACTACGGAAGTAGATTGCCCAACCTTCCTTCCGAGGAGTGGCTGGTGGGTTTGAACCGTCAGCCTTCTGGTTTTCAGTCAAGTGCCTTAGGCACTACACTACCAGAGCTCCCAGAGCCTCTAGGTGGGTTCAAATCACTGACTTTTGGATTAACATCTAAGTGTGAAACTGCTTGTGCCTTCAGAGTTTTTGATACAATGTTAGCCGTATGGTTATTTTATTTACTCAATACGTGATCTAGATAGCAAGAGAGGACAGAGTGCAGAACAGTCCATGCTAGCAATATTTGCTACTCTCTGAAACTTCTGAACTAGACTCAAACTCACTGCTGTTGAGTCAAATCTGACTCTTAGTGACCCCTCCTTGGTTTTCCAGGGTGGTATCACTACAGAAGTATGTTGCTCAATCTTCCTTCTGAGGAGTGGCTGGCGAGTTTGAATCACCAGCCTTCTGGTTAGCAGTCAAATGGCTAAATTGTTCTGTCAGTAGATCCAGTTAGCCATAGGTCTGCAACTGATTTTCTAAATGGCTAGTAGAAATTATACCTGACCACCCTGTTCTAGAAGATTAATCATCTAAACCACAACATCACAGAATTATGCATACGGAAGAGTAATGTGATTTAGAGTCAATCAAATTAGAAAGCAGAATGACACAGCTATTTTTCAATGCAGAAAGAGCTTTATAGTTTATTAAGTGAGAAGCAATAAAATATCTAATTAATATAATTATAACCATAACAACATTAAAATTATTGAATGCTTACAGTATGTCAGGCACCATGCTCAGGGATTTATAGATCGTATTTCTTCTAATCAGTATGCCAAAGCTTTTAGCTAAGCACTATTATTATGCACATTTTCCAGAGAAGAAACGTGACCTAGCTAGCTAAGTGCAATGATTTGAACCCAGTCCATACAACCCTAGAGACATCCTAGCTCCCAAGGTATCTGACTTCATCTGGAATAGAAAACAAAATTAGGACAACTCCTTAACTTTATTTTAAAAACCATTAATTTGCAATCAAACGGAACATTCCCAGGGCACTAGGTTCTGACAGAAATATCCAGGAAGCACAATCATAGAGCCCTGTTTTCCACAGTGATTAAAATGTATTAAGTCAAAGCACACACAGATGGTAATAAATGGTGCAAGTGGGAACACTACAACACAATGTTTATTTAAGAACTTAAAGGGTATTTTGTAGGTCTTCAGAGTAAGATTCATATTCTCTTGGGACCTACTTTGTTGAGCAGCATAACTTTTCAGATGAGTGGCAGGGCTTGGAAAATTGAGGCTTGAACAAATCTGTCAATGAGAATTTGTACAGACACTGTGAATATTCAGTTTCCTTTTTGCCTTCTTTTTTTGCTTGGCTTTGCTGTTACCAACTTCACTTCCTCGGACTTTCTGCCCCACCACCTTTTCAAGAAAATAACCCCTTTATCACTCTCAATTGCATAAGAAGTCTAATATAAATTTATGTTGATTTAAAACAATGGAATAAGAAAAATAATAAAAATTTCTAACATTTATTGAGAACTTTTTATGGGCCAGGTATTCTTGAAAGCTGTTCATGTGTATTATTAGCTCATTTACTTCTCACAATAGCTGAGTCTGTTAGGCCACTGTAGCTTAGAGAGCATAAGATACTTAAGGGCATTCAATTGGCAGACTGATAATGCAGTTATAATTGGTCAGTTTAGAACTTATATTTGCAACCACTATGCTATGGTTCCACCTCTCTCCTTTTTCTTTCTCAGCTCTCTGAAGAAGGTGCTCTGGCCAATCTTGGTCTAGGTGTCCATTCTAGATCTAACAAATTGTGACTGTGGTTGTGAGGTCTTGTTATACAAGTAGCCCCTGCTATTTCCGTGACAGTCATGCTGGAGATGGTTCTCAGAAAACTGAAGACCAAATATTTCCATGCTTAATTAGTCAAGATTTGATCATTATCCATTTATTTTATTTCAGTTTTCATTTCTACCTCTATCAGTGAAGAAAATGAGAAATAAAACTTTACCCGGCCAGTTTCGCTTAGTGTTTTTTGAAAGGATAATGTCTTCAATAAATTTGATAATTTCATGGTCTGCCATTAAACCCAGATAAATAGAGTTCACTTTAAACATGATAAACTTGTAAATGCTAGGACTTTGAGAAGTTTTCACATAGTTTTTTCAAAATCAGTGGCTTTAGAATATATTTTATAAAATATGTGATATTAAATATATTTCAAGTTTTTTTTTTTTGCATTTAAAAACTTTTTGAATTTCAAAAGTCTCCTTGCAGCAAATAAGTACACAACATTCTTAGATTCATGGTAACCAGGTCAACTTGAATATTCTCAGAACCTTGGTTTACAAGTGGCCATTCTTTTTAATGTTGACCAGTTCAAAGAGAACTGAGACTGAAATCATAAGTGACGGAAATACCATCATATTGAAGTCTGCTCTGCTTCCCTGTAAGCACAGCTACACTGTGTTACTTCTAGATGTAATGCACAGATCCCCTTCTTTGTTTCTCTCCTCATGGAATATACCATCTTTTGTCCATCTCATTCCTCCATGAGGTTTTCTTGCAGCATCCAATCCCATAGAGCTTCTCCCTTTGCTAAATTTAACAGATGCTTAACAAATTCTTGTTGATAAATTCCTGTGTTATGTATTTCAGTGCCTACCATCTGACACTTCCAGACACAGTAAAACCTAGCCAACAAAACAAGGTAAATTGTCTTGATTCCAAAGACACACTGGCATTACGTTACATTTCCTTGTTTCTATCTCAGTCAGCAATTAGCACTCTGACTGGTGCATTATAAGCCATTCAATGATATTTGTTACTTACTTTATCAGGAAGTGTTCAACAATGGCAAACGTGTGTCAGAAGGATATAATTCACTTAATTTTTACTCAATCTTGTTTAAACCCTGGGAAAAAAAGTTATTAACACAGAAAAGTTCTACAAACATGTATTATTTATTTGGTATGTCTTAATGATAATGATAGGAGTCTATGCCAGCAATACTCCCTACTCTTAATGATGGTAGTAGGAGCTCTGGTGGTACAGTGATTAGGGAATTTAGATGCCACCCGAAGGTCATTGGTTCAAACCCACCAGCTTCTCCATGGAAGAAAGATGGTGCAATCTTCTGTAAAGATTTACAGTCTTGGAAATGCAAAGGGGATTGCTATGGGTCAGAATCAACTCAGTGGCAATGGGTTTGGTTTAGTTTGGTTTAATGATGGTGGAACAATGGTTATATGCTTGGCTGCTAGCCAAAAGGTTAGGGGAACCTACCAGCTGCTCCAAGGGAGAAAGACCTAACAATCTGCTCCTTTAAGGATTCCAAAACCAAAAGCAAACCCACAACTATGAAGCTGATTCCCACTCATAGTGACCCCATAGGGTTTCCAAGGCTGTAAATCCTTCTGGAAGTTGACTGCCTCATTTTCCTCCCATGGAACAGCTGGTGGGTTTGAACCACAGACCTTCTGGTTAACAGTCAAATGCCTTACACCCTGTGCCAGCAGAGTTCTTCCCTTCAAAGATTACAGCCTATGAAATCCTATGCAGCTGTTCTCTTTTGCCATGCAGGGTGACCATGAATTGGAATCAACTCAATGGTACCTAACAAAATTAACAACAAAGATGTATAATTGTAAAATACATTTGCTTTCTTGATGCAACAGAGTTAAGAGGATTAAGAAAATATGGCACAAAATTTCCAAGTTAGTCTTGGAAACTAACCAAGTTTAAACTGCACTCCCATTATCAGAAAATACAGCAGTCTTTATTTCAAACCACTGAGTCCAAATTTAGTATCTATGTAGCAAGTGCTGCAAGGAAGACGGATATTACCCTTTTCAATATTGTTGTTGTTGTTGTTTGCCATCGAGTCGGCCCCGACTCATAGCGACCCCTCCTTGGGTTTCCGAGGCAGTATCACTATGGAAGTAGGATTGCCCAACCTTCCTTCCGAGGAGTGGCTCTGATAAATCTCATTGCTTGTTTTCAGATTAGCAGATGTTTGTCTCTGGGTATTGCTATAAGGAATGATGTGTTTATTCAAATAAATAGATTTCCTGGCTTTGACTGATGACAAGCTTCACACATTTATCATGTGTCTTGTACACACATATACTCACACACCTGCACTTTATATGCTGCTTTTCTTTTTTTAAAGAAAATATACAAATTACCAGTGGAAATGAATTCATTATTTTTATAATCTTTTTCATTTGTCAAAGAATTGAAAGTTTTGTATAACATCAGTGAAAAACTTTTTTCTCAACCAAAAATAAGAAGGATTATCTCCTCATGTCAGAATCATGATTGACTTGGGTTTGGTTGTGATGTTTTTAGAGGCCATAGATGGGCTCCCCAAAACACTATAGTTTATCTTTATGGATGGAAGTGATGATCAGTTCAACCCACCCATAAGCACCTCTAAAGAAAGGCCTGGCAATCCTTGTCTAAAAGTTCACAGTAATGCAAATTCTGTGGGACACAGTTTACTTTGTAACACATAGGTTTGCTATTAGTCAAAGTTGACTTAATGGGAACTGGTTACTGGTTAACGTGAATTTGGCATTATTTGGTAATACATTATAGCTCTTCTAGGGCTGGTGTAGTAGGGCCTGGGTTTTTTTTTTTTTTTTTTTTTCATGTATATGAGGAAAATTTGGCAAAATCTTTCTGAACAAGAAATATTTTCAAGCTTTTTCAAAATTAAATGATTCTCTAAACATCAGTATGTACATGACAGAAAAGTTTACCTCTAAAAACATCACCTAGCTCATATTTTGTTTCCAAAATTGCAGAAAAATATATGCATTGTCTTTGTAAGATATTTGCTTTGCAAAGTAAATCACAGTGAACTTTGCCATTTTCCAAAATTATCTAGGAATATACAATAGATGTATTTTTCCGTCAAAGCTGGAAGGATGAAAGGTTAAAATTTAAAGGACCCATGACAGTTCTCCGATTGAATAACCTAATGGCAAGTAAAATCTGGACTCCGGATACCTTTTTTCACAATGGAAAGAAGTCGGTGGCCCACAACATGACCATGCCCAACAAACTCTTGCGGATCACAGAGGATGGCACTTTGTTGTACACCATGAGGTGAGTTGGCTATGCCTTTATTTGTGAACATTTCTGTGCTTCATTTTTATCCACTTCTAGGCAGCCATCAAACTGATGGCCCAAGACAGGGATTTGGTTTCATGCTTCTTTTTTTTTTTTCTTTTTCTTCAACTTTAATGATTACTCTTCTGGGGGGCGGGGAACTTGCTCAAATATTATGCAACTATTAAAATGCTAAATAAAATCATAGGGATAAAAATGCTAGCAATGTATATTAAATAATATGATAGCATGATATATTTTTCCAACTATACTAGTTCAATATGAGGAATATCTTCACTCTATTGTAAATCACATACACACTTGCATTCTAGTAAGGTCAAGATTAAATTTTGAGAAACTATCTATAGATATATATCTGAAAGTATTTGTAATAAAAAGGAAATGAAAAAAACAGAAAATTTGAGAAAGGTAAAATATTCTTAAAACACTTGAGAAAACAATATATTGTGAAGTATATGAATTCACATTGGTATCGTTAGCTAGATAGAAAATAAAGATTGTCTTAATTTTTCTTAAATTGAAGATTATGCATTTTTCATGGTTTATACACAACTCTCCCGTTTTAGGCCTACTGCAAAATCTAGTCTCTAGTGAGTGCTCAGTACTTTTATGGTTGAATGAAAGGAACATGAATGAAATCATGTTTTCAGTAGTTTTTAAAGGAAACCAACACTTAAAGTATGCCTAATTTATGAGAAATTATGACTTGTGCATCACTTATTTTTGAGGGAAGCATTTATTTCCTTCCCAGATAAATTCTAAGAAGGATGTATTTTTAAATTTGGCCAATGTCTGGCATTTCAGACCTTCCCATTATTCCTTTGGTATAAAAAGATAATGAAGGCAAAATCCTCAACTTGATGGGTTGTATTTAGCAAAGGAATAGAGTAATATTTTGCCTTTAGTAAGCAGCCAGAACACATAGGTTTTCATATATGGACATCCAATAGATAAATGGGAGCTCTGGTAGCATAGTGGCTAAGGCACTTGACTGTCCACCAGAAGGCTGGTGGTTCAAACCCACCAGCCACTCCTCAGAAGGAAGAAGGGGTAATCTACTTCTGTAGTGATACTGCCCCGGAAACCCAAGGAGGGGTCGCTATGAGTCGGGTCTGACTCGACAGTACATAACAACAACAACAACAATAGATAGATAGATAGATAGATAGATAGATAAAAATAACCTTAAAGAGTCACATTAGATGTTGGACACAGCTACAGAAGATTGGTCCAACTTTAGTTGGAATTAAAGAATAAAAATTCCCCAAATCAGAGAGTGGGGAAAAAAAGCAAGGGGAACTTATAGACATATGTGTTGAAATCTTGTCATATCACCCAGGAGAACATAGTTACATTTGAAATTTAAGCAATCCACATTTGTCCTTGAACCTCAGTTCAGTGCATGTCCTGAATATTTTACTGATTCATGGTTTCTGAAATATGCAATATCCTTCATCAGTAATTAGCCTGTATCTTCCATTTCCCAGATTTCTCTGCATTTTTGCTAGTGCACTATCATTTTATTTAATGCTTTGATTTAATAATGTGAGTGTAATAGTTAACACATATTTCATATTTGTTTTAATCAATATTATGAATTTACTTAATGCTTTTAACTTAATGATTTTACTTAATAATTTCCCTGGCTAGAAAGTCTTCTTGCTATGTTTCTGGAGCTGTTTAGTAATCTAAGTAAACATCTATACTAAAAGTTGTTGTTATGTGCTGTCATGCAACTTTGTTAATATATTTGCTATACATGTCAACCATATTTATCAGGAAGGATCTAATCTTACTTGTGTGTTATTTTTCTTAATTTATAAGGCTGACAGTTAGAGCTGAATGCCCAATGCACTTGGAGGACTTCCCTATGGATGCCCATGCCTGCCCACTAAAATTTGGAAGCTGTAAGTAAATTTGCTTTAAAATTTCGTTATTCTTATGAGAGATCTAAATATTTGAGAAAGAGACCACCAATTAGTTTTATCTTTTGGAAGGATAGATAAAGATTTTCAAGAAAGCTAAAAGAACAATATTCTACAAGAACTTTCTATAAATAATAACATTTTACTTCAATATTTAATGTTATTTCAGAAAGCTGTTGTTCCCTATTATGTGGTCTAAATGTATTTTAAACAATATAGTGGGAGAATATTGTTTTTTGTTGAAGTTGTATTCATGGAAAAAAGAGGAGTATAGATGTTTATGCCACATAGATAACATTTTCCTTCAAAAAATGGAAATAATTCCTTTTTTCTTTTACATTACACTTCCTTGACTTTAAAAATAATTCAACTTATGTACCAGATGGAAACATCCGTAGGTGGTAAAGGATAAGTAGGTGTTTCTTAATAGTGAAATCTATAGCTAACAGATGTTGCGAGCAATTTGCCCTACCCATACACTTTGGAATGTTCTAGATCCATTTGGATATCTCATGGAATTCATGCATATATTAATGCTTTCTTGAAGGTATCTTAGATATCTCTTTATAATAACTTCATGGATTTTTTTATTTTTTTATATGAAAACAAGCAGGCACATCTTACAGGAGCCATGGAAGCAGTGGCTAGGAACGGCAAGTTCTCTGGTGTTCTCTCCAACCTTCTGCTTTTGACTAGTTTGCATGCATGAGGATAATGTATTCCTGGTTTTCTGCAGAGAAGTTACGCACATGGCTGAGTCAACTCCTGGACTAACTACCTAGTTTTCTGTTCTCACTAGAGGCAGTCTGAGCAACTATTTTGGTGAAGATATGATTCACAGAAGAAAAAGAGTGCTAGTGTAGGAAGACAGTAAGCAAAGGAAATAGAAAAGGGCCTTCAGGCACCTAGTAGCACACGAACGGAGAGATCATTTTTCTCTATAAATCTTTTCTCTACTGAAACTCAAAGATAGCCTACTTTTCAAACTATCAGTTAAGGTGATCTTTGGGGATAACTCCCTTCTCTCCAACTCCCCCCTCCCCAGTTTTATAAGTCTCTTGTATGTCAGGGACTGTTTTATGTTTTCTTTTGAGGAGCAGTTTCATTTTTAATACTAACCAAAGATATTATGTGTTAATTGTATTTCAAACAATATATGAAATATTTTATATGTATATGCTCAACTAATCCAGAAAATAACCTTAGAGTTGGGATGACAATACAACACAATGTGCCTAAAACAGTACTGGTTTATGTCTGTTATCCTAATTTAGTTATTAATACGGTCCCATTTTACCATCATAAATGTCCTGGTTTGAACAATAAACTGCATATTAATGCTATCAGTCAAGAATGTCTTCAACAGTGACTTTAGTTGAAAAAATAGAGAGCTTTATATTTTCATATAAGATGTCTAAAGATAAGGGATCACTGATTGATTATAGTTTAGGTCAGCATCTTAAGATAGTTGATATCCTTAGATGTCCTTCCTGGTCATCAATCACTTTGCAGCTTCAGCTACTGAATCACGTTTCATAATAAGGAGGAATAGTGACTGAAGAAGAAAATAATAATGCCTGTATCAAGAAACTATAAACTTTCACTAAAGTCCTAATAGCCATCTACTCATATGTTATTAATCAAAGATGTGTGTCCCAGGACCAAAGTAATGCTAACTGCATAAAGCCTAGGAAAATATATTTTTAACTGGGCACATTGTTAACTGAATTAAACTAAAGATATTGTAGGGAGCAGAAAATGGATAATGAATGGAAAGCAAATAGTGCCTGCCATATATAAGAAAACATAAGTTAAAGAAAATAACTTTTTTTTTTTTTCCATTTCCTTACACCTAATAGGTATTACTAGGCGCTCTGGTGGCATAGTGCTTAAGGCATTTGACTGCTAACCAGAAGTGTAGTGGTTCAAACCCATCAGACAGTCCTTGGAAGGAAGGTTGGGCAATCTACTTCCGTAGTGATATTGCCTCAGAAACCCAAGGAGGGATCACTATGAGTTGGATCCAAGTTCATGGCAGTGAGTTTGTTTGTTTTTTTTTTTTTTTTGGTTTTGAATAAGTATCACTAAGAAGAAGTGCCTGACAGTCTTTTTCTGAACATCAGTCAGTGAAAACTCTATAGATCACAATGTTCTGATCTGCAACTGTCAGTGGGAATGGTTCAAGGCTGAATAGCATTTCATTCCATTATACATAGTGTTGCCTTGAGCCAAGGGCCTATTCAACAGCAACTAACAATAACAACAACAAATAAGAGACAACTCCTGAAGGGACACTTATTTTATTCCCACTTATAAAGAGGTCATATGCTGAAGTTGTATATTTTCTTCGATTCTGACAAAATTCTCTCTTCATGTCTCCAAGCCAGGGCTTTGAACTGGTTCAGTCTGGTTCAGTCATGGCCAACTGAGTGACCCTGGAACAGACAGGTACTTTAAAAATGTGGGACAAGCACATTAGCTGGAACTGGAAAAATTATGGGGCTCACTCCTGCTAGAAACTTTATGTCCCAAATCTCTTGATATACAAAGTCAAAAACAATGGTGACTAGCTCAAAAAAGGCAGCTGACCACACCACTTTGAATGTATCCCCTCTGTCTGGCCAATAATCTAGTATCACAAGTCAGGCTCTTGAAAGGGCTCACAAGTCTCCTCTGAATCTCCCATTCCAGGGCTTTGAGCCTTAATTTTTCCTGTTCTGGTTATCATTTCAGATCATCTTAATTTTTTAAAAAAATTGGGATTGTTTTACTTTCACCTCATCATCCATGACTGAAAAATTTGAATTCCTGCTCTGAACTAAATTCAGAATTCAAGCCACATAACCCACTATCTCAGAGTCCAAGATACAGTCATTTCCCCCCTGCATTACTAAATGGGTTTCCTAACAGTTTCCTTATTTTTACTCTTTCTCACTCCCTCAAGCTCTTCTCCGTATCACAGTAATCTCTTTATTCTATGAATGATATCATGGCATTTATTGGCAAAATAAAACTTCAGTGGCTTTTTTCTTTCCCATGTACAAACAGTAGGCAATGAAATCCAGATTTTTTTTTTTGTCAAGGTCAATCAATTGCATTGGAAAAGAAAAAAATAAAATAAAATAAGAATTGGAAGTTGGAAAGTAAGGCTTTGGTGATAGAAAAGATGATGGAGATCACATGATGGAATTTTGCTTCCATTTGTTCATTGCAAATACCTTTTCAATAACATAAATGGTGACTATACACATGGACCTCTCCAGACGGAATACATAGAAATCAAATTGACTACAAATTGACAACAGAGAAGCTCAATATCATCAGTCAGAGCAAAGCTAGGGCCAAATGTGGAACAGACTGTCAATTGCTCATATACAACTTTAGTTCAATTGGAAAAAAATTCAGATAAGTCCTTGAGAGCCAAAATATGACCTTGAGTGTATCTCACCTGAATTTAGAGACTATCCGAAGGATAGATTTGATATATTGAACACCAGTGACTGAAGCCCAGATGAGCCGTGGGATGACATCAGGCTGTCACACATGCAAAAAGCAAAAGGTCATTAAAAAGAAAGGAAAGAGTGGGAAAACTGAAATGAATGTCAGAAGAGACTCTGAAACTTGTTCTTGAATGAAGAGTAACTAAAGCAATTGGAGGGAATGATGAAAGAACATGAGGCACTAACCAATACCTTAATTCCCCAGTACCTCATCTTAAAAGTCTGGTATTGTTTATCACTAGAACAATCTGATTGTTAGTCCAGAAATGATGCTAATTCAGCAAGAATAGCCATGTACAAATTAATGGAATAGTGACTATATTTTTCTGCATCATCCACTTCAGAGAAAAGTGAGTCACTTTAAGAGGCTTTGATCTGGAGATTGAGGGGCATAGTTAACATCTTTTCAGAGATAGCCTCATATTCATATAGAAAGACCATCATCATTTTACATTTTATAATATTTTAGCTTGGGCAAATACATATTTGACTACAACGTTCAAGGGGAGAGTTGGATCAGACAGGGCTGCACTGTGACTTTTGTAGGCCCTGAGGACTTTTGCCTTTATAAGCCCCTTCCTCCCCTCGAACTATTAAAATTAGATTTTATGACTGCGTTGATATCATGACTAATATAATCCAGGTTGGTTATATTCATTTTTTTAAATTTTAAAACAAATTAAAAGAATTTTGTGGCTCCTAAAATATGGCAATATCCTTACTATGCCTAATGGAGAAGTAAGACAAAAGATTAAGTTTTAATAGTAAGTTCAAAGTTTACTATCATATTTCTCCCTCCAAAGCTCCACAAACAAGTTGCTTTTGCTAATGTGATATTATTTAAATTTTCAATACCACTCTGCAACTAAACAGAGAAATTGTGTGTTTGTGAAATTATATTATCTGTGACTGGAAATCAAAAAGATGATAGGATTCCTTTTCCTTCTTCTATCTTGTGCTATACACCCTCCTCATCTGACCTGCACAAATCAAAGATCAGTGTATGACCTAACTCTCATATAGGAGGATGGCTAAGTTAGAAAGTGGCTTGACAAATGAAAATGTCTGAGAAGGACCAAGAACTGTAGTCACCACTATTATTATCATTATTGTGAATAATCAATTTTAAAAGTGAATAGTTTGGGGGGCAAAGGGACTCACAAAGGCAAAAGCTCCCAGGCCCCACAAAAGTCACGTATTGATGTTCAACAAATATCTAGTATGTCTTTTTTACAGGTATTATGACCTTCCTCTGGCCTGACATAATCTGAAGACAAACTACTACCTTTAACCTCATTTCATCTCTCATGTGCCTCCCTCTCACCACAATGGTATTACTGATTTTTCTTAACAATATCAACCTTATACTTGTCTCCAAACCAAAAAAACAAACTCATTGCCGTCGAGTCGGATCCGACTCATAGTGACCCCTCTTTGGGTTTCCATGGTGGTATCACTATGGAAGTAGATTGCCCAATCTTCCTCCTAAGGAGAAATAAATTATTTTCCTGCCTAATATACTTTGTCCAACACTTTCAGATGCCTCATAATTATGCCTTTCTATAAATTTTGCTTCCTCAGAGACCCTTTCTGGCCCCTTTACTTAAGGTAAAAGGGCTTCATTCTGTATCACTTTATTCTGTTGTGTATGACTTTATTAAAACTTACCAATACTTGAAATGATGTATGTATTTGATTACTTTCTTATTACCCCCACCAATCATGTATGTGCCAAGGAGGGGAACCTCATTTGTTATGTGTCTGCTGTCTCCCCAGCATAGTTCTTTGTGGCATTTTTAATTTCTGGTAGCGTAGTGCCTAAGGCATTTGACTGCTAACCAGAAGGCTGTTGGTTCAATTTCACCAGAAGGAAGGTTAGGCAATCTATTTCTGTAGTGATACCACCTCAGAAACCCAAGGAGGGGGTCACCATGAGTCGGATACGACTCGACAACAGTGGGTTTGGTTTGGTTTGGTTTGTTTTTATATGTTTAATAGACATTTGTTGAAAGAGTATATGTGTATATATATATATATGTATGTATGTATACATATATATGTCTGTGTGTATATGTATGTATGTATATCTATCTATCTATCTATCTATCTATCTATCTATATATATATATACAAGTTTTTTTTGTTTTTTTTTCCAAGACTAAGTTATGTGAGCTTTCCTTTCCTAGCCTGCCCTCTGGAACGATGGAGTGGAATATATAAGACTGACAAAGCACACTGACTCATTATGAGATATGAAAAGGCAAAGCACATGTACTATTTTTCATCCTTCCATTTTAGATGCTTATACAAGAGCAGAAGTTGTTTATGAATGGACCAGAGAACCAGCACGTTCAGTAGTTGTAGCAGAAGATGGTTCACGTCTCAACCAGTATGATCTTCTTGGGCAAACAGTAGACTCTGGAATTGTTCAGTCCAGTACAGGTGAGTACGGATTTGTTATTTTATATATGGTAGAAATAGAAACTTCTTCTTTTTCTTTTTCTTTTTTTTTTTTTTAATGACAATGTGAGATATCAGTGAATCCTGCAGTAACATAAATAGAAAATTACAGGGAATTGGGAATCAAGTTGGCTAGGAACTAGAGTCAACCCTGTAGAATGAAACCTGAGACAGTTCACTTAATGCCTCTGTTTCTTTATTTGTGAAATAAAGTACAGATACTGTGTGACCATTCTAGCACAGCTGTTAAAGCTCTTGAGGAAGAATGTCTGGATAAAACATTCACCTTGCCAGTTGATTATAGTCATTGCTAGAAGGAATAAAATTAAGTCTATGCTGAGTACTTATCATAATTCCTGGCACATTGAAACACTTATAAATACTAGCTATTAATATCTTCTAGGCCTTGTTTATTGCCATGATTCAGTGAATCTTGGTGAATATGTAGCCACCATTAATACACACGGGACATCACAAAGGCAATTCCTTCTACAAATCCCTTCACATCACTGGTCAAGGATCTTCTACAGCTAGCACTTGCAGAAATATAGCTTCATTATTGATCATCCCATTTGAAATTAAAATAAGTGAGGGGCCAGGTGATTGGTTTGCTAATGACATGCTTAGTAGTGTATCAAATACTATTAAAGAGATGTATACATGATTTTAAATCTGTGAAATTATTTCTAAGAACCAAATGCAAATTTGGCTATGTAAATGTACATGTTATGACCAGATAAAATCTGATCATAGAACCAGATAGCTGTTAAGAAAATTTGGACCCTACCAATGAAGAAAATTTACCGAAAAAATCAATATTTTTGAATATGTTAAATTACTGAATGATTTAACAAAGGCCAACAATTGACCCTGTGGACATTATTTTAAAATTTAAATGTGTCATTCACTTAATTCTGGGATTTCAAATAAAGACAATTTAGTAATAAATAAGGACAAACCAGAAAAAACAAACTCACTGCCGTTGAGTCGATTCAATTCACAGCAACACAGCAACTCCTCCTTGGGTTTCTGAGGGCAGTGGTGGTATTTTTCTCGGAAATATTTCTTCCTTAGATTTCAACTTGTATATGAGGTTCCCATATTCAAACTTAAAAAATATATAGGTAATATCTTTTTCTGTGTTTAGTGGGTAAACTCTGATTCATATGATGTGTCTTCAATTGCAAGAGGAGTAATGACATACAAAACTAATAAATATTTAAGAAGCTTAAATAAGTATGTCTCTTGTTTTGAAAAGTAGGGATATATTTTTTTCTCAGATTTTCCTTAAATGGAAAGGCATATGGCTAGTGGAAAGGAGCTCAATGACATTATGGTTAAAGAATTGCACTGCAAATCAAAAGGTCAGAAATTTGAACCCACTAGCTGCTCTGGTGGCATAGTGCCTAAGACATTTGACTGTTAAACAGAAGGGTGATGATTCAAACTCACCAGCCACTTCTTGGAAGGAAGATTAGGCAATCTACTTCTGTAGTGACACAGCCTCAGAAAGGCAAGAAGCAGTCGCTACCAGTCAGATCCGACTCCAGACTCCACAGCTGTGAGGGTTTTTTTTTTTTTTTTGGTTTAGTTGCTTCATGGGAAAAAAATGTGGTAGTCTGCTTCTGTAAAGATTTACAGCCTTGGAAATTCTATGGAGCAGTTCTACTCTGTCCTGTAGGGTTGCTATGAGTTGGAATCGACTCAATGGGAGTGAGTTTGGTTTCTTCCGGTTTCTAGTGGAAAGGGAACAGGTTTTGCAATGAGAAAGATATGAGTTCATGTCCTGATCCTGTCGCTTAGAAGCCTTGTGACGTCGCTCAAGTCATTTATCCAATCATAAGTCTCAGTCTTTTCAAAGAAACTGGAATAATATAATTTTGCATTAAAGATGTAATAAAATAAAACACCAAGCTGACTGCTATATAGGAGATAATCTAAATTGTATCTGACATCTGTTGCTGTAGTAGTTCTGAAAATATCCCAGAATATGGAAAATGATGAGAATTTTTCTTCCTCACAACATTTAAGGAGGAAAATATGCTAAAATGACCAGGGTTTGCTCTTTAAAAATCCAATACTATTTTACAGTATATAGTATGGCAAGTCCTGGAGATCCAATGATAGACAAATCACAGGGATCTGAGGTCTAAGAGAGGACAGGTCTAAGCTGTAATTATAAAAATTATGGTAAGTGCTGTGATTAATGCTTTTGTGAGGGCAGGAACCATATCTGTCCTCAATATCCCCATAATTTATTATAGTAGCTTAGATATAAGATATACTCAATAAATATTTGAATTAAAAAATAGATGACTCCAGCCTAGGATATAACTGTTGGGGGCCCTGCACATTTAGAATAATAGATGGAAGGTCTTTCCCTCATGAAAGCCTTCATCTTTTACTATTAGAGTGAGGGTGGGAAGATGTAAGGGAAACAAATAACTGAAAGGTAGTAACTGACATGTGGTAGTAGAAGTATACACAAGCCACAACCTCTTTATATTAGATTCTTAGGGCTACTGAAACAAAATTCCACAACTTGTGTGCCTTATAAGACCAGAAATGTATTGTCTCACAGTTCTGGAGGTCAGTAGTCTGAATTCAGAGTGTGCATAGGGCTATTTTTTTTTAAGTCTCTAGGGGATGATCCTTTCTGGTCTTTCCCAGCTCCTGGTAGCTCCAGTTATTTTTGTTATGTGGCTTCATCTTCCCCATGGCCAATTTTTCTCTATCTGTCTTTCTGTGTCTCATCTCTATTATTACAACATTGCTCTGGTGATGTAGTGCCTAAGGCATTTGACTGCTAACCAAAAGGTTGGCAGTTAAACCTACCAGCCACTCTTCAAAAGGAAGATTGGGCAATCTACTTCCTTAGTGAAACACCTTGGAAACCCAAGGAGGGGTCGCTGTGAGTCGGATCGGACTCAACGGCAGTGTTTTTTTGGTTTAGATGGGATTAAGACTCATTCTACTCCAGTATAACCTCATGTTAACTGATAACATCTTGAAAGACCCTATTTCCAAACAAAGTCATATTCACAGGTACAGTGGTAGGAAAAGAAGTTCAATATACCTTTCTGGAGGAAATAATTCAATCCATAATGTCCTTTATGTCCCAGTTCCCATCTGTAAATAAGTGGCTTAGTCTGGTGAATTTACAGTCCTCTCTCACATCTGGTTTCCTGTGGATTAAAAAAAAGGAAAAAAAAAAAAAAATCAAACTCACTACCTTAAGTCAATTTGGTCTCATTGTGATCCCTCCTTGGTTTTCTAAGGTGGTATCTCTAGGGAACTCTGGTGGTGTAATGCCTAAGGCATTTGACTGCTAACCAGAAGGCTGGTGGTTCAAACCCACCAGCCACTCCTTGGAAGGACGGTTGGGCAATCTACTTCTGTAGTGATGTTGTTGTTGTTGTTGTTATGTGCCGTTGAGTCAGACTCGACTCATAGCAACCCCCTTTGGGTTGCTGAGGCAGTATCAGGAAGTAGATTGCCCAATCTTCCTTCTGAGGAATGGCTGGTGGGTTTGAACTGCCAGCCTTCTGGTTAGCAGTCAAGTGCCTTAGGCTCTATGATGCCAGAGCTCTGTAGTGATACTACCTCGGAAACCCCGGAAGGGATCCCTATGAGTCAGATCCGACTCAAGGGCAGTGAGTTTGGTTTTTGGTTTGGTTATGTCTAGGAAAGTAGATTGCCTAATCTGTCTTCCGAGGAGAGGCTGGTGGGTTTGAACTGCTAGCATCTGGTTAGCAGTCAAATGTCTTGATGATACAGCATCTTAAATTCTAATCACTCAGAAAATAGAAACAATCAAAAAGGAACTATAGAATGAAAGGCAGTGGTCTAAGCCCCTACCACCAGGATAACTAAAACTCATAAGTTGGACCCACTCTCTGCTGCAACAGCAAGTTTACCAGCACAAAATAACTGCTTTCTCCTGCTATTCCCATAATAGATAGGTAGACACAGAGGGAGTGAGAAGAATAATGAGTAAATTCTCAAATGGAGGAAAGTCAATTTAATATACATCTTCAGCTAGACAACATACAATTAGAGACTGAACTATGCTTCTTCTGGGCCCACTTTATCTCATCAGGAGTCCATCTTAATATATTTCAGTGGGAAAAAACAAAGATCTTTGTGTAAGGTCTCTGATGGAATATTTCACATCTTTTTGTGGAGCACTGAAAATATTAAGATAAATGAGATTGAGTGCTATTATCTCCCTTCTTGTGCTGGAAGACTAAAGAAAGATGGCAGAGGAGAGCACACATGTTGACAGTGATCAGAGAAAAGGTATCTTCTATCACCTTAGAATTCCCTTTGGGGAAATATCAATTCAGATCACCTCTTAGGTCAGAGTGTACCACTTCACTGCCTATGCCAACACACATGTGCACACACATTAGCAGTGACCTCTTTCAGATAAAATATACCCAGATCACTTCAATGACATTAGAAGAAAAAGATGAAGATATTAATATAAAATTTAGATTTCTGAATTAAGTGCAGATACACTAGAGGCACAATTACTTCCTTGGAGTCTGACATCAGTGAGATTCCATGGGAAAAAATGAGTTTCACATGTAGTTTTAAGTTCACTTATTCATCTGGAAAAAAGCAAAATCATTAAAAGCACAAAGAAAAGATGAGATAGCTGTTTTTCACATCCAATATAGTTTACTTATATTCATTCATTCATCCACTTATTCCTTCAATTGTGTGCTCGATTACGCAAGAAATACACATTAAGAGCTGACTGTGTCTGACTGTGTGCTTGTGACTGAGGAAGAAAGTTGAAGGATACATAACTCCCGCCATCAAGAAGCTCTTGGCTGAGTGATATAAGTAGCTAACATGTAATGGTATTGTTCTAATCATCATAACAATATTAGATGGTGGGAATTATTATTATCTCCATTTTATAAATAGGATATAATTGAGGCCCTAAGAGGTTTAACAGCTACTTCAAGGATACA